ATATATATCTATGGGCTCTAGCCTCAGAAATGAGACATCAGTGCAGCCATGCTGAAGATTCCATCTGTTCAGACAGACACTATGGCAGCAAGAATGCCAACTCCTTTACTCCTTGCTTCTAGGGATAAAAGAGGGCCCTGAGAAATGGGTGACTATGTATGTGTGTAGCTCATAGAACATATGGGCAAGCTGATGTAAAGCACTGTCTCCTAGAACAAGTGCTTCCAATAATGGCCAGAACTGTAACTTGCAGTTGAAGGGGGATGTGCAACATGGCTGAGTACCAGATCCAGAGCTCAGAAGGAACTGAGGTATAGTGATGACCAAGTGAGCCTGGTGGGTAACAGTTATAGGTCAGTGTGGTTAGAGTCCTCAAGTCTATGCTGAGCATGGGGAAGCCCTAAGCTAAGAGTCCCCAATCCAACTCTACTGGATTTGGTGGCTTCCATGTCTCTTAACATATTTTGCACACTGTAAGCCTAGGCTCTTCTCAGTTCAAAAAGCCATGTGTTCTGGTTTCTTTCTTTCTCTCTCTCTCTGTCTCTCTCTCTGTCTCTCTCTGTCTCTCTCTGTCTCTCTGTCTCTGTCTCTCTCTCTCTGTCTGTCTGTCTCTCTCTTTCTCTTTCTGTCAATTGACACTAGCTGAAAGGACCAAGCAGATGCCAAAACAGGCTGCTCAGTCTTCTCTCAGAGATCAGACCTCAATTTCAGTTTCCTGAGACTTGAGCAAGCAGTTTCTGAGAGGGCATGAACAAAAGACATAGTCCTTGCAGTAGCTCCCTTTCTGCATGTACTCTGACTGCTCAAGGTTCAGCCAATTGTTTACTGTCTGGGACCCCTCACCAACTTAGAGCTACATGCATGGGTCAATGTGAAAGCTTGGGCCACTGAGTCAGCTCCCACAGTCAGTACATGCTAGGCCAGCCAGCCTCCATGGCAGCTCAAGGCAAAGCCTGGGACTTGTTCAGGCATGCCCAAAAATGGATAACCCCAACTAACCCTAGCCAATTAAAAGTTACTAACATGTTTGCCATTCACATAAACCAATCCTGAGTCTGTTCCTATGCAGTTCGTAGACCCCAAGCCCCCCTTGCTTTAAAAACCCTGCCCCATTGCTACTTGGGGTCTCTCCTGCTCTGCTGCTGTGCCAGATGGATGGAGGGTCCTGAATTAACGAGTAACAATACAAAGACTCTTTGCTTTTGCATCGGATTCGGTCTCTTGGTGGTCTTTCAGGGACTCTGGGTACAACAAAGCTACATTCATTTGGCAAGAGAGAACCTCAATTGAATAAATGCCCCTGTAGTGTTATAGCTCTGAGGAGAAAGCTTTATTGAGAAGGAAAAACATAGGAGAGTGGCTGCCTCTGCTCCAGTGAGAAGCAGCAGAGAACTGAGCAGAAGATGGGCTTTATATAGGGTTTCTGTGGGGAGGGCAGAGCTTTCCAGGGTATCCTGGGATTGGTGGGATTTTTGTGGCCTGATCTTGGGGCAAGCTCAGGAATTGGTGGGATTCTTTTTCTTGACCCTGTTCTTGGCTTGGGGTCAAGTCAAGGTCAAGATGTTCTTTCCTTGGCCCTTTTAGCCTACAGCTCCCCACCAGATTCACCAGTAGGTAAGTCTGTGTGAGCATTTTTCTGATTGATGTGGAAGGGCCTAGGCCACTGTGAGTAGTGCTGTTCCTGGACAGGTGGTCCTGGGTGACATAAAAAAAAAACAAGCTGACAGTCTAGCGGTGGTGGTGTATGCCTGTAATCCCAGCACTCGGGAGACAGAGTCAGGTGGATCCCTGTGAGTTCAAGGCCAGCCTGGTCTACAAAGCTAGTTCCAGAACAGTCAGAGCTGTTACACAGAGAAACCCTGTGTCAAAAACAACAACAAAAAACCCAAAATGAATGAACAAGAGAGAGAGAGAGAGAGAGAGAGAGA